GACAAAGAACTCGACCGGGCAAGAAAATGGAAAAGTCGTGGATGATGAGGCGGTGCAAAGGGATGAAGAGTTGAGCCGAACGCAGCTTCCAGACGAGGCCGAAGAAGACGATGAGCTTGTGGAAAGGAAGCGCCGCGCTGTAGCGGGGCAGGGTGTGTGAGCATTCGAGCGGTTCTTCTTTGTCTCTGATTTCAGGTTCGGGTGTCCAACGTTGGCAACTATGGTAGAAGGAGTGCTCACTTGGTTGGCTTCGGATCACTTGTATACCTGGGCTTTCCTAAAATCCCCTGCGAAAGGTTTAACTTGCAGAGGGTTAAATGGAAACTGCCACTAAACCCCTAATAGGCTAAACACCTCAAGGGGATGGCTGGGCGCCACCAACTGACGTGGTTGTTTGCTTATGTTGGCAAGGGGGGCTGTAAAGGGGGGGATGGGTGCCACTGCCGCTTCATTTGCGTTAGTCGTAGTCGGACATCCAATCTAGGTGAATTACAATGACTCAAACACTCAATGATAAGGTTTTCCCATGACAGCAGCCTTCGATTCACACTGGGTGAGATCGCACGTTGAGAGGTCCCTATAGCTTGCCCAAATACGTTGCTTTAAATGATCTCAAGGTTCATTCCGTTCATGTTGCTCATCAGTATTGCAAGTACGGGTAACGAGAGAAAACCTGTATGTGGCCCGCATTTTAACAGGGTTTGTATTGCTTTGCGGTTGGATCACTTGCATTCTTTGGGGAATCCACCGTATCCCCGATGGCATGGTTATGTGCATTGACTTAGCATCCTCTTTGGAATCCAGCAGGGGGCTTTAGCCCTAAGTGGAAAAGGGAAGGCTGCGATGTGTCTCATTCAATTGTGGCAACAGTAAGAAACGCACGCATGGTTTGCTGGATCAAGCAGAACTAGACAAATGCTACATCTAATGTCATATCACAATATGTCCATTTGCTTGAGCCCCCTGCACAATTTACAAACATATGTCCAGCAGTAATAGACTCCGTTTCAAATTAAGAGGGAGGAAGAACGCATATTTCTCTGCAAATGGAAGCACATACACTTTCATTTGCCCATATGGGGATTGGTCGAAAGGTCCTTTACATGGGATGATCCTTGGGGAAATCCGCCAAAAGCTGATATTTCCCAATAAATAGGAATCCATACCCACGGTCAAAACTGGGGGCCCTAGACGGCATATTGATCAACCTGCCATACCCTTCCCCAGACTAAGATGGAAGCTCTCGAACGGAGCGCTTTAAAAGAAAGACACTTGGTTGCATTCGCCAAAATGGAAAAACCGGAGAAAAACAAAACACTAAATGGGAAAAGTTACCCATGGTCAAAACTGGGGGCCCACGGAATATCCGCAAAAAACCATCCCAAACCAACGGTTTGGCCGTCCGTCCAACGTGATTCGTTTCTCGGGCCCCCTCCGCTGGCACGGTGCGCAGTGTCGCCACTGCCTTGGCCAGCGCTGAGCTGAGGGCTGAGCAAATTGCCTCATCAAGTGGATTGGCAAAAAGTCGCAACTGTTGATTTACCGCTAAAACGGTCCGAACCCAAAAAGTGACTAAGGTCCATTCATCCCTTCCGGTCTTTCCAGATGAACAGGTTCCACTTTGAGCTGGGAGACGAGCTGCCCTGTTTTAGTCAGTCAAGATCAAATGACTCGGCAGCTGAATGCTACCGACCACACCTGAACACCAACCTCAAATCCGAAGCCACCAATAACAAGAACAGAACACTGCAAATGCACCTTGCCATGCTTCTTGGAGCCATACAAGTGGATATCAAGGGCAACTAGTAAATAATGTGATCTCCCAGATGTACCGATGGCTTTTAGTTTGAGGGGAGTGCTTGGAAGGCTTGGACATCTTCTAGTAGTGCAAGAGCATAGCGCTCGCTTGTCATTCAGATCAGCACTGGTAATCAATGATATCCCGGCGCAGGAATCAGTCAACCTCGTTCAGCAACTTGGAAAACCAAACGGTCACTTCCTCGACAGTGGGACAAAGCTCGTCAATTTACAGCAAGCCTGCCAACCCAAATACTCCATCTTGATTCTGCCAAACCCACTGAAGACCTTGTTAGAGACCACCAGCAGTCAGGAGCTGTATGAATTCAAATGCTGCAACTGTCAAACGGGCGCTGTCTAAAGGTCATGTGGAATCAGTGGAATCATCCTCCGTCTCACTAGCATACAGCCTGATACAGGGCCTTTGCAGTAAGTCAGTGCATGAGCAATACCGTATATACGTAGCACTTTCATACCTCTGCGTTCCTCCTTCAGCACGCCAGACACAGACATAACCTCCAAAACACAACGCTTTTCAACGTGCCCCCCGCACCCAAGCACACACACACACACAAACACACACTCATTGAAGTTCGCTACCTCATGAAAGCTTAGGCATAATAAGTATTGCTCTGGTAAGCAACAATCACAATCTTGGTAGACAGAAGAAAAGCCTTTGCAGCAGCTGAAGTCAATGAAATCAAAATCAGGCATGATTCAGTCCCATTCTGTGTTTACAATTGTGTGGAATTCTGGGAATGTTGCGCTTGGTGCTAGTTCCGCGATATTAGCTGTCCCAAGCACACGGACAAGTTTGTTGATCATCTTTGGTTCAGAGAAAAACAACTACGGCGTTTAGCAAGCTGGACACATTTTTGGATGGAACATGTAATTGGGTGTGTCTTGTCTTAGGGAACCCGCAAAATGGCTTCGGTGTTCCGTTTGGTTTCCCTGTAAAACAACAAAACATAGACATGTGCCCTCCAATGGTGGGATCTTCAGTCCCAAATCCCGCTACAAAGAAATCCTGTCTCGGGTTCGAAGTTCCCGGCCGGACTCAGGGCGACGGCCACAGATCCTGCGCGAAGCGAAAACATGTTGCACACAAGGGCGATGCCTGAAAAGAAGGGCTTTCCACGTGAGCTCAACATGTGCGTGTATTTTCTTGAGGCTACCCCCTTTTTCGCGCATCTTAAACGGGAAACGCCAAAATAAGGCCGACAAATCCCTTTCGCCGGGCCCGGAAAAAGACGACGAGCCACCCTCCTCCCTCGAAAACAGGGGCCGCTTAGCTCGGCGAAACTTCGCGTCCTCGCCGCGGGGTCTGCGGAGTTCGCAAAGGTGCCCTGGCAGATCCGCCTGGCGAAACGCGCGGGTCTGTGGTGCGGCCCCTTTGGAATGAGCCACACCTAGAGATCGGTCCCTGATTTTTTTTGCGGGGTAGGTCCAATTTCAGTCAGGGCTTTTTTTCAGGGTTCACTTGGATGTTCGGTCAACGTCAGGAAGGCTACAGCCATGGATATAAGGGGGCGATCACCCCACTTACCCTGGTTGTAATCATGGTGATATCCTACCTACTAAGTTGGTTGAACATCCAAGAACAAACAGAGCCCCTGTGACTCTTGTCATTTTGAGAGGGAGTCCAGTCAGTGACTGAAAAGCGCATCAGGGGATTTTAAAGTTCTTGCTGTTTTACAGGAAACCGCATTTGCACAAAAAAGACATACCCATGCGGGGCCTGTCTTTTTTGCGGGAACCATCAAAATGATGGTTTTCCTTTGGTTTGGATGTAAGACCGACCCAAAAGGTGTACCTCAAAAAAGACACACCCATGTTTATGCTGATCCTGCAAAATGGCTAAATGGCAAACCCAAACTGGGTTTGAAGGAGTGGTCGCATGGGGAAAGCATCGGACAGCATCTGCTGATTTGGATGCCAAGCTGAAACCGGTTTCGGTGAACGGCTTTCCAAGCCGTAGGCTAAGAGATAGGAAGCCAGGCGGGGGACTGTCGCAGTACTACAGGGTTCGAGATGTTGTGCCTCAACGTAAGCACGTGACCCTTTTGGGGTCCGTTGCCACACCAAAGCACGGTAAGCCGAGTGCATCGTGTGCTGCAAGAAAAAGTTGCATTTGACAGCACAGTAGCACACTTCAGCAAGCTTAGTTTGGTTAGACAACCAAGCGCAGGCTGCATCCAACTAATTGTTCATCAAACTGGCTTCAAGCGAGGCAAGATCGTAGTCTTGCCAGCTGGAAGGCGTCTATGGACATACACCGACACGCCATCGGTTCACAGGAATGTCCAACATCCAAACGGAGGGGTTGCCTCGAAACAGATGGGCTCCCGAATCCCCGTTGACTAACCTGGTTTGTCTCACCAGGGTACCCTGGAAAGGCGGTCTCGTTCGTCTTCCTTCAGTTTTATTTAAAAAATAAACAACCTCACAATGGGTACCCTCAAAACTGATGCCCATCTGAAGAGATACCATGAACCCAAGAAGAACCTCCAGACCCCCAAGGCTCATCGGATCTTTGCCAGAAGAACCTCCAGACTCCCCCCGAGGCTCATCGGATCTTTGACAGCCGCGTGTTTCCCTTGGGCTGACTTTGTCAATTTGTAGGTTGGTAGTCCAGGCCAAACCAACACTACCAGACTGCTGCACTTTCCGGCACCCAAGGAACTGGGCAGGGGAGTCGCTTTGATGTGTCTTCCAAATCCTGAACAGGTCTGCTTCTGTGATTGTTGGATGAGTGGCCGGGTAGTCGTTCGAAGCCGGAAGAAAAAATGAACGAACCTGACTGAGGGGTTCTGGAAGGCTATTCTCCTTTCAAAGGGACCCGCCGGTGGGTTCCATGTTCGTGGACAGGAGGGTATGAGGTCTGGACTATTTTGGCACCCACATAGCTAAGTGCAACAAAGCCAGCAGCTCCTGGCGACCAAGTAGCGGCAACGGCAGCGCCCTGAGCGAGCCAACCCCCCTCCCCCGCGTCAACACGGGGGCGCTCAGAGTAAAGCTCCCGAGTGCAGGTTGATTGATGTAGTCTTGCCAATTATTGCTGGGGCCCATTCTGACGAAAGCGAGCCGGATGAGTCAAACTGCGATCTGAGGTGTCGTTCACCTGGTCTCTCCCTGTATCTCTTGCTCGTGCACTGTCTCTCCCTCCCCGCTTCGGCTTTGGCGCGCGTGCCTTCACATTCGCTCCCTTGCTTTCCACAAGCAACACCTCGACCACCGTGTCTATGCTGAAGTTGGAAAAAGGCAGCACTTCTCAGAGCGCTCGCCGAAAACTGTCTCACTGGGTATACAGTGTATCGTTCTTGAGGGGACCCCCAACATGGTGGTTTCCTTTTGGCTTCCCGTTAAAAGCGCCAGGCACAGAAAGCTTTGCCTGTGCCAGGCATCATCTAACTCTCACAACTCGGATGGGCATCAGGATGACTTCTTCCTTGGCGGACAGCTTGCAGTCAGACCTCTGAAGTGGGTGTGTTGTTGATTAGGGGACCCCTGAGACTCCCCGAAATGGTGGCTTGTCTAGTGATTGTGCATTAAAACCAGAAAACAAATCAATACAAGACACAGCCGTGTAGTCCGCATTGATAGGGGCTCTCCTCGACAAACCCCTGCACACACGGAATGTACGATAGATGCGGCCAACGGCTGCACATGTTGCCAATGGTTCCCATTCACGTGGAAAACCGCCAGACACACACACAGACACACACACAAACACAAACACAAACACACACACACACAGACACACACAGACACACAGACACACACACACACACACACACACACACACACACACACACACACACACACACACACACACACACACACACACACACACACACACACACACACACAACACACACACACACACACACACACACACACAACACACACACACACACACAACACACACACACACACACACACACACACACACACACACACACACACACACACAACACACACACACACACACACACAACACACACACACACACAACACACAACACACACACACACACACACACACACACACACAACACACACACACACACACAGACACACACACAGACACACAACACACACACACACACACAACACACACAACACACACACACAACACACACAACACACACACACAACACACACAACACACACACACAACACACACAACACACACACAACACACACACAACACACACACAACACACACACAACACACACACACAACACACAACACACACAACACACAAACACCACACACACACAACACACACACAACACACACAACACACACACACACAACACACACAACACACACACAACACACACACACAACACACAAACACAACACACACACACAACACAAACACACAACACAAACACAACACACACAACACACACACACACACGTGTGTGTGTCGAATGTTCTCATCCATTACCCACCATCATTTTGAGAGGAAACATATTCTTGAGGAATTATCGGGCTGTAGGCAAAATCATTTGAGACACCAATGCAGGGTGCGGCCTTCGTATTGCCAGTTGTATGTTCGTGGTCTTAATGCCCCGACATCCGGGGTGTGTATGTGAGTGTACATACCCCGTGGGCACATATCCCCAAAAGGCTTCATGAGATTCAATCCCCTCTCCCCAAAAGAGGCATTCATAAACAAATTGTCTGGTTAACCAGGGTATTCCATTTACGTTCCTTTGAACATGGATAACCAGAAGTGCCCGTCTGAAAATCTGGACTAGTCGCAGCTCTTGGGGAAATAGCCGTTAGAAGCAACTTGTGGATGATGTTGGCTGCAACGAGGTCACTTTCGTGGGCTCTTGTAACTAATGCCGTTCAAAAATTGAGGCCATCAAACACATCTCGGAAATCCACTGTGGATCATGTCTGCCTGAGTGTGGACCTTCGAGAAGAAGGGCCTTGCTTCTACTTCACCCTGGTTGCATTTTGAGCTGATGTGCAAGAGTGTCTGACAGATTGTTGCAAGGTTTGCTGAAAGGGCTCTTTGACAATCCGGCAGTTGTTATCCTCATGTTCCCGCAACGTTGATGCAAAAGCACATTGACTTGCTGCGGCAAATGCCGAACATGCCTCGCTGCTGAAATGATGACCACAAACAGGCTTCCTTTCGCCTACTGAGGGCTGAGTTCCCCGCCCTGAGCGGTACTCTTTTTGGGATGCTTGGAAGATAAAAACTGAAGAGAACCCCATTCCAATGCATTTCGGATGTTCCCCATACGGGTGGGTCTTTTTTACAGAAACCCCACAAATGGTTGGTTTCTTCAGTTGTTCAGTGACATTGGAAAAAAAGGAACTTAGTGGGGCAGCCACCAAAACAAAGGGAAAAAGGGTGCCACTTGTTCAGTCTGAGTTTCCTTCTGGTACCCACAAAAAAGGACCCCCGCCCACCTGCTTACCTGCCGTGTGCGCCCCAGGCGCGCGCGGATTACGTAGACGGGGTCCGCGAAGCCCAGGCGGCTCAAGGGCCCTCCGAGGTCCAGCGCTTCTGGGGCATCGAAGCAGCCCGCGTAGTGCCTGGGCTTTCAGAAGGGACCAGACGTGGGGATTGAATTTTAAGACTTGGAACCTCCAAAGTGGTGGACATGAATCCTCCCCCTAACTGACGACCACCACAGCGTTCTCTAAATATTACATGTCATGGCCCTTTTTGGTGAAGGTAATCCTGATGACGTATCAGATGCCTACGCCGGCGCCTACGCCATGTGCAAATGCCATGCGGGACGGCCTACGCGAGGTGTATATCAGCTCCAAACGAAAGTGTTACGCGGTGTGCGTTTCGTGCTAAAACTCGTACGCGGGCACCTGCTGGCAACCTGTCAAGTCGAGCCTATGCGGTGCCTATGCGAGAAGCTCCCCAGCCGACTGTCGAAAAGTGGCTACGCACGCCTCCGCGCGTGCAGTAATACGGGGTCTGATATGTCCACTCTCCTTTGCCCCTTGACTACTGTTCAAAAAAAAACAACTCCGCTCATGTGTGTGTGTTTCTCGGGTAGGTCAAAGCTGGCGTCGGTTCCTTTCGGTTCCACACGACAAATGAGGTACCTGCAAAAAGACAATTCGGAAAGGTAGCAAGCCCTTGGTTAGTCAATCAAAGATTCGCTAAAGAGTGGCCAGAAACCAAGTTTCAAGTGACTTTATCTTTAGTCAACGACAGACGTGGCCATGAGTCGTTTGGGTGACCACAGCCTGAGCATGCTGGGCTGTCCTCAGATCCCCTACATAAAACAGATATATAGTGGCCCACTAAACAAAAAAACCTAAAAACCTAAGGAACCGGATGGCTGGGAGCCACCAAGCATTCCCGCCCCTGAGCGAGCCATTCTGTCCTTGGCACATGTAGCTGCCGTAGATGAGCACCTGCACTTTGCATGTGCTTGTCCATAGGAAAACGCAGTCATCATGGTCAGCGTCGCTTTTTAATTTTAATTGGTAGTTTGGATTGGTGGTTTGTTGGCTAGGGAGTGGGTTCGCATTTACCCCGTACAAGAACCAGTTGGAAGGGAGCCAGAGTGGCATTGAACTCGGCAACGCAAGAAGTGGCAACAAAGGTCATTCAGCCAGCGCCTTGATTAGCCACTGCGCATGCAATGCTTTTCCGCTGCAAACAGCCGCCAAAGTGCCTAATATAAAGTTGAGTTTCGACACGGCAGATGCCGTAATAAAACACAAGCATAGAGGCCAAGTCTCAGCTTTGGCTTGGGATTCCGTACCTTACTTGTGGGGCTTGTGCTGCAGACTTCCAATGGCACCTCGCACCTATGGCCCGGAGCAGGTTGCCACTGTTCCACAGGGCTTTCTAGAATGAGGTCTTATATTGACCTGTCCAGCTGCAATGACTCCGCGAGTGTGTGTGTGTGTGTATCCAGGAACGATATAAAGGCAACAACACATGGGAACATGTTCGCAAGCCCTCTCTTGCTGCCAAGGCGCATGCTCCATGTCGCCAGTCTGCAGCCAGATGTTCACTGCCTCGAGCCGGAGATGTGTTTAGCTCGCGCCCTTCAAGGGCGCATCGCTGTCATACTCTTGCACCGAACTCAGCAAGCCAACCTCATGACTCAGAGCTTCGCCTCAAGCGAAGCCTCGTCTTGTGCGCCCTGCCTTGCTCGGAAAGCAGCGGTTGCTCGTGGATAGAAGCACCATTCCACCCACCTTCAGCACACGGCCAACCTCCTTCATCACCTGCGGCCGCGTGAGTAGGGCGGACCGTTTTTAGAGCCCTGCAAAAAGTGACGAACTTTTAGTGGGTTTAATGGATGCCCACGACGAAAGCAACTTAAAAGCTAAAAGCTAAGCCCTGAAAAGAATGGCAAGGGCCCAATTTGGATGATGGCAATCCTGAAAGGGAAGCAATGGTGGTTATGTGAACCCCCATTGTTTTAACGGTAGTTTGAAGCCCAGGGTAGGGTTTCTCTCAAAATCGGGAACCCCCAAAATGGGGGTATCCTTTCGGTATCCTTTCGGAATCCTTTTTAAAACCATCACAAAATGGTCCCTCAACAAAACAGACACCCGCTACGCAGCGTTGGCGATTGCTTTGGTCGGGACGAACCAAGTCTCAGATGACGCGAAAAATGAAGCGTTGTTTTTGCCCTACCAGCTAGCATGAACCTGCACAGCATCGCTGTCCAACAAATAGTTTTTCCTTGAAGGGGTCTGTGCACTTCTGGCATCATTGGGGGGGAGGTTGCACATGAGGGATTATGCACATAATACCCACCAAGCTCAGCGGCATTTCTTGCCAAATATTTTACGCCATGATACGCCATGTGCTTTCCATGCAAGTATGTCTACATAAACACGAGCATTTGAGGAAGACGGACTATGACTCGCTTGAGGCAAAATACGAAATCCAAATAACTCATGTCTCGTGTCAAAGGTAGGCATGTGTGGAGCAGGAGAGCTGTCAAACAACAGCACACCAGACATCACTACGGAAAACACAACCTTGTCAAACAAGTGCTTCGTGCGATAAGGAGTCACACCTCACACTTACACAATATGATTGATTCAACGAACCCATTCTACAGAAGCAATGCGCACTCGACCCAAGGTGAACAATCTCATGTATACATCCATACAAGTCGATCTGCTTGCCAGTTTCACATTGACAACATCCTTGCAATCAGGGATCGCCGTGACTTGTTTCGAATTGAACTATGCGGGCGATGCTTGCGACCTCATTGTCAGATCCATGTTGGGCTCCACTCTTTGATCTACCCACATCTCTTGCATTTCACCGCGCATATGATCTCCGAAACTAACAACCCGCACAGACATGGATCCAGGGAAACTCCCAGCTATATTTGGTATATAGTTGTGGGGACCCGGGACCCCGGAAGCTGAGGAAGTTGCACTGAAGCATGGCTCACATTGGGCCACCTCTTCCCTCATGTCAATCTTGGATCTTGCCGATAGACCCTCACTCCTCAGGACTGACATGCTGCTTGTGTACATAGAAGTTGAGCATAATTGAGTTGTAATTGCTGCTTCCCCATTGCTTAATGGATGGACTACCGTTGAATTGACTGCGAGGAGTCGCCCATTTCAAGGGGACTGATTTCTCATAATTTCACCCGGATAGTCCCTTTTCTCTACTAAACCTCTGAACCACTCCCATCAAAAGTAGCGCATCTTTTCGCAGGCACGTCCCTAGGCACACCCAAACATAGTATTGAGAATGTGTTAGCCTCGTCTCTCCCATCGGGGGGAGGCCATGGGCCTCCAACGGGCGACAAAGGTAGTCAAAGGACACCGTGCAGGTGACGATATCGAAGGACCTCGCGACTTGCCGCCGCCCCCGGCCGCAAAACCTATGGCTGACTCCTTGGGACTAGTAAGCATTCATGGCCCCGATGGGAGCCCCGGTGGCCAAATCCTCTAAAACCGAGGCTTGAAGCGTTTTCATCGTCTTCAAACGCTTCTTCACCTTTAGGGGGAAGCTTTTGCTCCATGGTTAGGGTACTCAGAAGCAAAGCCAGGCTACTCATGCTTGCTTGTTGAGGGCTTAACGCGGCTCAGTTTCCCTGAACCCTGCATGCAACATTGCTTTCTGGCCGACCTAAACGCAGCCGAAGGGCTGGGCTATGCAAGTACATGCAGGGAACATGAACCCTGGCCAATGAGTCACTGGATACTGTCGCTGCAGTGACGTCACGTCACTCAGCAATATGGTTCGTTTATTAACGTCATCAATAGTTTCAATCACGTAAGACTTAATTGTGTTACTTTAATTGTTACTCTCTCTGCGCCTGTTGTGATCAATCAGCAACTGTAACCAGGGCGCCAACACCATTCTATATAATGTGGCTGTGGGTCAACATGGTCAACAAAAAGGTACCAAAAACGAAACCCTGGTAAATGGACACATGGACTAAAACCTAGTGTCCCCTGATGGCTTAAGTTTGACCCAAACCCAGAATATCTGGCGCGCAGTGCCGATGCCTGGCAAGACATGCCACGTATTCGCTGAGAGCCTGGCCTTGAGGCCCTTAGCTTATCTCACTCAACCAAGGATGCTTCACATAGCCCTAACCAAATATGGGCTCTAGTTAAAGGAAAAAAAGGGTCCTTGGACAAGGCCCTATGTGGGTCTGCCTTTTTGTTGCGGGTACCCCTTGTTTGATTGGTTTTAAAGGAAGGCCAAAAGGAGAACCACCATTTTTGGGGGCTCACGAAACACGACGCACCCACCGGGTTCAGTGCACATCCAGGCGGCTGATCATCATACGGCAGCTTTGGGTCTGTGTTGAGGTCTCTGACCTCTGGAGGAAACTTGGAGAGCCAAGCGGCGGGAAGCGCATTGCTAAGGGTAGCTTCCATTTCCATTCCTTCCAGGGATCCTTCTTTCTGGCAAACCACCAAGAACTTGGGGAAATGGCTGGGTTTTGAAAAGAACGATGGCTGATAATAATGGGGAATCAACCGCTAGAACATTCAAGAACATGCCAACAAATCAAGCAGGCAACCGGAAATCACTTGTGGCAAAAGCGAACGGTTCAGGAATGACAGCAAGGAAAACACACTAAGACAGGGCCGAGACAGGAAACTCGATGGATCAGGCAAATTGGGGCATGTCTTGTTTGGGGCACCCCGTGTTTTCCCTGTTGTTTTCCTTGAAACCCACTAAGAAAGGGGCAACCTCAAAAGACATACCTAAATACAACTGAGCACAAACCAAGCTCCAATTGTGCCAGGAAACTGTGTAGTCATCGGCCTGCTTGTTCTGCTCCAACTCGTATTCCTAAAAAGCAAATCGGGCGAATGGTACGTATGCCAACCACACCAACATACTATTAGTTCTGTCAGCACTTCTTGGTGGTTGTTATGCGGGTTTAAGCCTCCAGTTCCTCTTAACACCAAGCGAGAAGGTACATGAAGCCTCCATCCTCTACGGCTGTTCAAGTCAATCCCATTGTCATTTTTGTTCGGTGACCAACCGAAAAAAAGACATCCCCTTAGGAACCTTCGTGGCCAGTCCAACCCGGTGACAGTAATTGGACAGTCAACCATGCAAATCGGCGAGTTAGAAGGCCCCTAGAATTGGTTGGCACGGAGTAAGTCACTACTCCTCAAATGACACTGCCGTGCATGGTAGAAAGCAAATCCGCCAAAATTTGAGCTTCGGTCAGCTAGCTCACATAGCTCTCGACCGAACTTATCAACCCTTGGTGGGTTAGCGAAATACTTAATCCAAAGAAACAAATATTTTAAACAACAAAAACACTTGCCAATGACCATGAGTTCAACATAAAGCAAACAGATCCCATCTCGCAAGATTGAGCGGCTGGTGCAACGTTTTGCGTTGCCTGCACATACTAGTGCTGCTGTGCATGCAATTGATGTGATTTGCAAAACAGATGTGCCAACACCCTCAGTTCGACTGCCATCTGCTTGCACATCGCCAAGCTGCATTCATACCAGTGATGGAGACCTGAGCTGCACGTGCCAAGGCAGGGAATTGATCTCGAACTCAAAGATGTAGTGGTTGGCCACTTGAATGCCAAAATTCACAGCTGTGGCTGGCAACACAAGGGAGCGGCCACACCGACACACGCAAATAGGCAGCCGGACAAGCACGTTCCCCCAAACGATTCCATTGCATACAGCTGGTGCATCTTGCTACGACTCAACCTGAAATGCCGTTGCAGAACAGACCGAGCAACCATCAACACTCCAAAAAATTCGCTCCTGCAAGCAAAACTTGGCGCTGAGCTAAGGCCCTTTGCATCATTGAAGCTACGGCCAGAAGCCCCGGACAACAAACATTGCTTTGCATCACCCAACAAATGCTGGCGGCTCGAACAAGGGTAAACTAGTTCATGCGTTCTCGCCTGCTCCGTGTGGGTGAATCACACAAAAATGGATCGAATATGATCGAATCCTGATGCCTGGTAAGTACCATGCAATGCAACGAAGCCGTCCTTGCCCTTACCTTGCATATTGGTTAAGCAAACATGCAAGAAACATGCGGAGATGTCCTAAGGACGCGTCCATTGACCCTCCACGAATCTGGAATTTGGGGGGGGGGGGTCCTGTCATACGAGGGGTATGCGCGGCTCAGTTGTGTGTGAACCTTGGGGTGTTCAAGTCCCCATCCTCAGCATCGTCTTAGCACTCTCTGCATCGCCCGCATCACCAGACTGACGTACTTAGAAAAGATGAGCAATCGGGGTCAAACGAAAAGCCCCTCTCGTGTCTTGTGGGAACATTTCCAAACAGACAAGAGGAAATTGCAACGACAAACCTAACAGGCAGGAAACCCCCAGTTGAGGCTCAAATAGAAACATGCTCGCGGGAAGAGGGTAAACAAAGAAACAGCAGGAAAGAGCTTGATTGGGGATCTTCTCAAAACAGAAGCCAGGAAGCTGCAAACAAAAGCTACAGGCATCCTCAGCTACGGAAAGAAGAGAAAGTGAGTAAACGGAGGCAGCCAACGCCCCTCAAGAAAAGGGAAAGTTGCAAACACAAAACTGCACACATCCTCAGCTAGGGAAGAAAATTTGGACAAACGAAGGCAAACCCAAGGCACTACTTAAGTCCTGCGGGGACCTGTCAACAGGAAAGAGCGCAACAGCAAGGACAACCACACGAAGCATCAGCAGGACAGAGCCCCACTGCATCAGTAGCGCACCTGTCCATCGCATACATCTTCAAAACTGATTCCAGGGCTGCGCGTGGTAAAAAAAAGAAGGAAAGAGAAACGATTCGGCGCCACACAAAACTTCGCTCATTGCACGCGGCTGCGCGTGATCACTGCTGTCCTGCTGCAAGAAGACATGAACCAATCAAGTAAAATGAAAGGTTCCTTCCCAAATCGCACGTGTGCACGTGAGCTGTACCTGCAAAACGCATGTAAGGTAGCAGGTCTGTGTTGTCGGCGATCTGAGCAAACCCTCTTGTGGTGGTTTCAAAAGTGTGGAAAACCCAACGCAAATTGCTGCAACTCACAATCTCGAACTGAGAACCCCCCCACGTAGGAAACCTGTGCTACCAGGCAGCATGCGACCAAGTCTTCTCAGCAGGGTAGTGGCTTATCCAGCTTGAGCACAGATCCTGCTGAGTCTGCTGCGCAACAAAACGTCTCCCAATGCACGACTCAGTGTCAAAACAACTACTCCTCTTGCCTGGAACACCAACCAATTCCACAACAGCTCTCGCAGCACTGCAACAAAATAGAAAGCAAGACAAGCAGGCAGACACACAGAAAGGATAACAAACAAACGGACAATAAACAAAACAATCTGAAAGCACGCAATCAAACACACACAATCAGGCAGCCAAGCGTCCAGTATTCTAGCCTTGGTGTCAGCTTCGTGCGTCAACAGGCGAAGAAAGTGCGCGTTTGACCGAACAATCTCACTTCAACCGCTGAAGCTTCAGCGGTTGAAGTGAGGTTCTTACTCACCTACGAATTCTGGGTAAGCATCGTTCATCTTCATAAGATGGATAGATCAACCACAAAAGCAATAGCAGCATCCCAACTTTGCCCAGCTGATCGCAATCATGTGTCGGTGTCAGCTGTCGCTCTAAGCTGAAGGTCAACCATGGGTTACAGTACTCGCTATCTCAGATTCACTGCTTGATCATACTAATCCAAGGGCTCCCTTTGCAATGAACAAACACTCCACTCCAAACTGTTGCCAACTCAGAGGATTGACACATTCAAGATCACCATTGTCATGCATTCAAGCGAAAACCAATCCGGTCTCCACATGCTACAAGCATGACAGACTCCGGCATGCGCATTTCCACCTGACTCGATGAAGTGCAAACAAGGAGCATTTGGATATTGAGCGAACACCTCCTCATAGTGCTTTGTAAGCGTGGCAATAAAGTTGTCCTCAGCCAGGGCAGAGACACAGGCAGGACTCACATTGAGACAATAAAGCAGCGACATCACCTCATGGAACAGAATCCACTAAGTATGATGATCATTCGTGCGGGCGTACAACACACAATCACAGGCATTGCAAAACCGCATCTTCAAGCCGGTGCCGCCAAGTAACATCAACATGTGTGCAAATTCTGGGCTGAGAGTAGAAGCCCGTGTCTGAAGTCTCATCTTGTCGTCTGAAATCCTCCTCCACAGGCCAAAACTGCAACTCAGCTATTGTGTTGCAGGATAGTCGCAAAGACGGGTGGGCACTTTCGCCGGTAATGGAAACATATCAAAACTCGAGCCCTGCTAAAGCAGAGGTGATGTGTCTCCTGAAAGGTTGGCACTCGCCTATCACAACTGCTTGAGCTGAACTCGAGACTGGAATTATTTTGAATATTTTCACAAAACCACAAAGGAGACTCGCAGTCAAATTCAAGTGTGGGATTTGATCTGAGGTCCTGAAGTAATGTTAGAGGTGTTGACTGTAATGACATGCACGTATAATTAGTTATGTATATAATGTATATATGTCTGTCTGGTCTCTCTGCCCGTCCACCTGTATGTCTTGTATGTATTGTATGTGGTGATCGTATTGTGCAATTGTATTATATTGCAACAGTGTAGTGTAGTGTAGTGAATTGGTTTGTATTATGTCTTGTATTGTATTGCAATGTAGTGGAGTGAAATGATTGTATGTAGGTAGGTAGATAGGTAGGTAGGTAGGTAGGTATGTAGGTATGTAGGTATATAGGTATGTAGGTACGTAGGTATGTAGGTACGTAGGTATGTAGGTATGTATGTAGGTATGTAGGTATGCAGGTATGTAGGTATGTAGGTATGTAGGTATGTATGTAGGTATGTAGGTAGGTATGTAGGTATGTAGGTATGTAGGTATGTAGGTATGTAGGTATGTAGATATGTAGGTATGTAGGTATGTAGGTATGTAGGTATGTGGGTATGTATGTATGTATGTATGTATGTATGTATGTATGTATGTATGTATGTATGTATGTATGTATGTATGTATGTATGTATGTGTGTGTATGTATGTATGTAGGTAAGTAGGTATTTAGGTATGCATGTATGTAGGTATGTAGGTATGTAGGTATGTAGGTATGTCGGTATGTAGGTACGTAGGTATGTAGGTATGTAGGTATGTATGTATGTATGTATGTATGTATGTAGGTATGTAGGTATGTAGGTATGTAGGTAGGTGGGTAGGTATGTATGTATGTATGTGTGTGTGTATGTATGTATGCAAGCATGCATGTATGTATGTTGTATGTGTGCGCGTATGCGTGTATGCGTGTATGTGTGTATGTGAGTATGTGTGTATGTGTATATGTGTGCATGATGGTATATGTGTATATATGTATCTATGCATGCATATACAGTTTGTATGTATACATGCATGTACTATGTATGTGGCTACGTACATACGTGCAGTTGTGCGTCCACATGCATACATGCATGCATGTACACATATGTATGTACATATGTTTTTACGCACATGCATTTATACACGTATAACTTACCAGTACTGTATAGATGCAATACATTATCACTCTTGCCTGTAATAAAACATGTATGCATGAATGCGTGGACATACGTGTATATATATATATATGTACACATATGTATCATCATGCCTATTATATTTATCTTCCCAATACACGCTTTTCACAACACACCCAGCGCCTCTGAGTAAGGCCATTCCTCCGGCCAGCGGACCTGCTGCGAGCAGATTGCGCCAAGGTATACGGGGGCAGGGGACCGTTTTCTGCTTGGAGAGAACTATGAAAGAACAAACTCACAGTTTGTCATCAGGTGACAGCACCCACTCCTCGGAACGCAAAGCAACCATGAAACCTGGCACCAGAATGATCAATGACGTCAGGCAGCGAGACTGATTTGGCAGACAGGACGCTGCGGGTGTCTATATTGTTCAAGTCCCACGAGAAACATGCCGGCATGAAGTAAGAATACACGTTCGGATTCACTTCCCATGACTGCAAATAAGCGCAGTTTGTGTGATGGGATCATACCGGGCTTATGCCACCGGTGGGCCCCACGCGAAGCATGGCAGCATCCGCACTATGTTGAGCATTGATTGCCCACCTCCCTAGGTCATGACAGGTGTTGAAACATGCCCCCAACACAGTCAGCTTCATCCCCAACTCGAACTAGCTACCCCCAAAGGAAATTGGGGTATATATGCCTCCTTGCCGGCGAGGAATGGAAGGCACCTGAAACGTCCAAAAAGCAACCAAGCACCAAACAGCTGGAGTGCCAGACTGCGGCCAAAAGGGTTTTGCAGGCACAGCAGAATCAGGATCCTATGTGTGGTGGGTTTCTGAGGGCAGGTCTTTAGAACTGGGTTCTCATGCACAGCCAAGGTTACCCAGCTCCCACATGACATGCTCCCCCAAAGCCGCTCATCCACGCCATCCGAAGCTTCCCTAAACATAAATTATCCTCATCACGATGCAACTTTCAACAAATGCAACGGCCATTGTCATCAGTCGCAGGTTCAGCAAGCTGCGTGTTGACTGGGATCTCAATGTGGTCAATACTATCTACATACGATGTGCATACATATCTATATGTAGAGCTGTATATATATATATACACTACATTCATAAATGTACGTGTTGTGCATGCATTGTCGGCATGTCAGCAGCTGCTTCTCCATAACTCCGCTTGGGCAAGATGCAATTCACTCGGACAAATAAAGTAAAAAGGAATTGTCACGCACATTATTCGCCTAAGACAAGGGACTCTGAAGGAGGGGTGTGAATGTGGTTTTCCTTTGAAACAAGCCCAAGGGTATTCAGCAAAAAGACAAAGTCGTGTCATATTTGTCAAGCCCCACCTCGCGCAAGAGCTGCGTGGGGTCGTTGCTTGACACGGAACTTTGCGGCCACCCAGCCTGGCAGTCAGCTCATATCTTGCGGGAAACATCGAACTTGCCAAATAACAGTGGTTCAAAATTAAACAGGAGGGGTTACGCAGGTTTTAGTCCATGTTTACACTTACCAGGGTTCCAGTTTGGTACCGGTTTTTTGAGCCACAGCCAAATGTGATTCCCAGTGTCATAGAAACCCACCAGGTGGTCTCTGAAACGGACTAGGGACCTCCAGACGTCATGTTCGTGGGAGGTCACCAAGTCATTGTTCCCAGCGGGAAATGGGCTACTCATGAGCATCTGGTCATCAACATAAACATATAGGGCTAAGCTACAGCATGCAATCCCCTTCTTCCATTGTCATGATCTGGGAATTTTGTCTAGTTTGACCCCTTGCAATCATGACAAGGACCTGAACCGGAAACACACCGGCCAACAGTTCAACTTCAGGCAAGTAATTTGTCCTCCCAAAACGGAAGGGATAACATCGAGAGACATGTGAAGTTGTAATTGGGCAACAGGCCAAAGGAGCATGCTTCCATTTCTTGGGCATGATGTTGTGCTTCAATACTAACACCATGAACAACAAACTTTGACATCTGTCTGATTGAGGTGTTCGTTGGAACGTCCGGCCAGTCTTTTCAACAAAGCACGATGTGATGAAACTGTTTAGCACGCAGTGCTAAAGATTCCTTTTGTAAACGAGTTGACGGCATCACGGCTCGAGGTCCCCAAGCGGAGGATTCCAACGGGGGCTCCGGAGGCGCCTCCTGGGTGTGTCGGTTCTTTGAGGCCTTTGTTGGTGCTTGCTTCAGGCAAACCAAAAGGAGAACCACCTTGCTGGTTTTTCAGGGGGTCCCCTACAAGAAGACACACCCATTTCTCTCATATGCATCCAAAAAATCAGCTTCGCAGCCGGCGGCCTGTTCTTCCCCCCTCCCCAGGCCTTCGCGTGCAAGCGCGTGGAGTTGGATCTGGCGCGATCGTCTCAAGGTTTTAGGCGCAAGGTGCCGAGGGTCGTACACTTGCCGTTACCCATTTAGGAAAACACTGACGATCTATGCCTCGGGGAGAAAAAAACGAACCTAGTGAGCTTTCATGATGGACCATTGCGGGCTATGACCTAAAGGATGCGAACTTGGAGCCGCTGGCTGACACGCGGTAAACTCCAAACGCCTGCACTGCATAGGACTTCAACTGAGCAGAGTCTGCTGGGCGCTGTGTGACGCTCAAGATGCACGTTGGCAAGGCATGATTCGCGAGTGACCGATGGTCTTGTCCATCTGAGTCTACGAAAGCCGCTGAATACATAGGACAACGGATCGAACACAAACTGGCCCCAAACTGCAAGACATGACACAAACAAGGGAAGGTTGAAGGTAATTACTGCATGCAGTCAAGCATGCCTCAAAGACTCACACTACACGAACACAAAAGCACATTTTATGCCATAATAGCTGCCACTTTCGCGGAGTCAGATTCTAGCCGGCCAGCTACCACCACCAAAGAGCTAACACAAGGTCCAGCCACCAGCGAGTCAGCGCGATTCCTCATTGTTCGCCCAATGGCATCCAAATGAAAGTAAGTGATGAATTTCGCGCGTGGCTCGTTCCGGCCTAGGTCGCTACAGGAGCCATTGGATTGTCATTCCAGTAGCAGAGAGACCCATGCGCCGCCACCCAAATCGGCACCTGCGGCCAAAGGCTCCAGCCAGGCCACCCAGAAAGGTCATACCTGGCCATGGCAACTGAAGTGGCTGACCAATCCACAAGTTTGCGGCGAGACCATCAGCCTCTGTGATGCCACTGTGGATTCTCATGTCTCATTTTCAACGAATATGGTTGTTGCTTTGATGTGGGCTGTCTGTTTTGATGGTACCCCTCTTTTACGGTTTGAAAGGGACACTTAAACGGAAACCAACATTTATTGATTGTTGTTTTCTTTTGGGGGGCGCAAACATACACCCCCATGCAATTGTGTGACACGTGGGGAATTGCCGAAGTGATTACTTCCATTACGCCAGGATAAGTATATCTCTACGGCGAGATATGCGCCAAGAGCATCTCAGCAGGGTGCTTTAATGGACAATCACAAGCTTATGTTTATACTATGTGTATGTTTGCTTCTTCTCTATTTCTTTATGGTACTTGTTTTGTTTTTGTTTTTTTTTTTTGGGGGGGGGGGGGGCAAAAATACACACCCATGCGATGATGCAAAAAGTGGGGAATTGCCGAAGTGGTTGCTTCCGTTAAGCGGGAGTTATACACTTCGTCACTTCGGCATCTTAGCAGCGTGACTTGTTGGCAGCCCTCCGCTCAACATATCTTCTCACCCAAAAGAAGAGAAAGGGCTGGGTGACTTGGGGCTTCCCATTCAGCCTTCCAGTTGGTTTCAAACTCCTTGTGACGCCACGTTGGAAGGGGGGGGGTGCTGGCTGGAAACCCCCGTCTGCAAACTTCACCTTTCAAAAACGAGTTCTGTGAACAGTGCCGCAAAGGGGTTCCACGAAGAACTTCCGCGAAAAGTTCCGCGCAATGAGTTAGTAGACGCGACTTCGCGGCAAGTCAGGCCCTGGGGTTCAAAACCGCCACTAAAACAATGGGGTTCATAAAAGAAAGAAACAAACACATTGTTTACGTAAGGATTGCCATCATCCAAATTGGGTCAACCATTCTTTTTATGCGGGTTGAACCCCAGGGAAGGGGAAGTCTTGGGCGAAGTTATGCGAGGGGGCGGTTCCAGCGGGCGGGGAGTCGCCCCGTTTTTGTTGGACCTCGTGAGTTGACCTTCCTGGGAGAGTACCGTGCAGTCCGCGAAAAAGGGCAGGGCCAGAATCCCAATAAAATGCACCGTCTTCCCAACCCAAGGACTAAACAGCGTTGTCCTCAGCTCCCCCCAGACTGAAAAGAACTCCGAATGACAATAGAAGCTTCTTCTACTGTTGTGTCCGTCACACTGGCAGGCTATGGCAAGGCGAAACTGGCAACTGAACCGGATCCAACTAGAGTGGCAACCAAACGTCAAACCAAAGGGAAGCTCACCAGTAATTGGGCTTCACAGAAGGTAACGTGCCAAAGCCGGGGCCTCTCAACTCATTGGACACAGTCTTCCGCGTGCAACCATTGCACGTGGCTGTCGGACTATATTGAACAAAAAAACCCAACCGAGCAAGCATGACCTCCCTCAGGTTATGCAACACCCACGATGCCTTGGTTTGTTGTTGCCTGGCTAGCGTTTTTGACTCCTTTTGCTTCCGAAGCTCCTGTACCTCAGCCCAATTTTTGAGCCCCAACCCATTCTTTTGTCGTTTTAGAGGGAAACCAATCTGAAACCAACCCGTTCTGGGGCATTCATGACGTCCCCTCAAAAACGCCATCCTCATATTCTAGGTCCTCCAGTAGAGGGGTTAGAAGAAGGGTACCCTTTTTTTTCTGTAGTCTACTTAGTAGGGGAACCCTCCCCCAAAAAAGAAACGGTCAAAGGGCACCTAGCTGGGGGACCAACCAAACCCACTTCCTGGCCTTCCTGGCCCCAAAAAAGGGGTGATAAAGGGCACTACTGGACCTAGTGTGCCTACTTAAAATCTGCCAACATAACACGGAACCCCTGAAAACCGAATTGCGCACTGGGGAACCTCACATTTGTCAAACCCGCAAAGGTTACTGTCCCCTGCCTGGAAGGATCCCCACGGAAGCCGACGAGGCCCGCCGCGGCGCAGACCTATCAGACCCACACGACGAGAACGGGCCTGTCTTAAAATAGGGGTTCCCAACATGGCGTTTGTGTTTCTTCCTTTTTTCTTCTCTTTTTTTTCTTGGCTGGTGACCCTTTTAAACATAAAGACCTCGTTGTTTCCCTTAAGCTTATATTTTGTTTTTCTCTTAACTCCTCATCGTTCTGCAGTGTTTTGTGGTTTCTGCACTTTCAACCCCGAAATCGTGAGCTTTTGGAACGCGGCACAAAGCACGCATTCACACCTCCAGCTCGAAAATCGCAACTTTCCAGCTGACAAGGCCGCATCAGTTTTTGGACCCAAGGGACCTCCGAAAACTAAACTTGAATCGGGGGGATTTGTTTTGTGCTGCAACCTCGCTTAAGCCATGCGTGGGAGTGCTTTTGGAAACATAATAACCTAAGTGATCCAAACTGTGGGTCAAGAATAGGCACCCAAAATGGAACCCTGGAAAATTGAACCAATCCCTGCCGGTTCCTGGTGGTTGACGCATGCACCAAAGGACGCCTGTGATACCTACAGCTCTTGCACGCTCTCCCGCCTCCGCTGGAAGGCGAGGACCGCCGCAGGCGCCGGAGCGGCCGCAGGGGCCACAGGCACGGAGAGAGCCATGGGATCAAGCCAAAGCTGCGAGGCGAAAGGAATGCGTGTCTTGTGCTTGTCAATTTGGCCCTCCAAGGCGACAAATTTGTGAGTCGCCTAAATAGCGGTCGAGTCACCTAAAGTTCGAAGCGTTCGAATTTGGGGTAACTCTGGCATGTGAATTTGAACAGCCCGGTCCCCGAGAAGGGGCGACATCTATCCCGGCGATGGGGCTCGATATGCCGGTCAACACCTCTAACACAGGTGTCTGTGTAGCCGTGCTGAACGTGACAAATGCTCACACGATGATCATAGGATGGCTTTAGTCGGCTTGGTTCAATAGATTAGGGGCATCCCCCCTCTGGACCCCAGAAAACTTGCTGGTGCTCAGTCGAATGAATCTGGGGATTCCCTTGAAGGAAACCATAGGGGATGGTTTAAATCGGGGTTCTTCTAACTCATTCCCCGCTGAAATCCTCGCCCATCGACCCAACGGAACTCGCGTGTTCTCTCCGGCTGAGGGCAGCGCGTTCAAGTCCAAGAGCTGCGCCCTGGGCTGATGGGCTGATGGGCTGAGGGCTGGGGACGTTTTGATTCCGCCTTTGAACACGTAGGAAAGGTTTACATTGACACACACTACTGTCCTGTCTTGTCTGTGCGCAAGAGTCCGTGGGGGAAAACTCAAGTAGCAAGCAAGCCATCATTTGCTTTGAGCTCTCAGCTTTTGCTTTGGAGTCTGCGACGCCCACAACGGAAATGCTAGAAAGTTTAAGCTCCACAAATTGGAAAGTGATTCAAGCTCAGGAGCAAACCTGCTGGTGCCCATGGTGGAAATGAAACATCACTGAGAAGCAATGTGTCAGTTAGCCAAGCCTGTTTTGCAAGCAAGTCAACTACAACTCCTGAAGTGGTAACGGTCTGGGAGCGACCACTTAGTGACTGAATGGTCGGACCATCGCACATTCAATGGTCTTGCCTTCAAAAGTCGTTACACTTCTGCAAATGGAGCCTCAAGCGCGAGTCTCCCAAAAGGAGATCCAAAGACCATGGCCTTTTGGGCTCCAGTGGGGGCGGGTCTCAAACTGTTGCCTTCAAGCTTTTGCTTCAAGCCATGGAGCGAAAACAAGGGAAAGACACACAAAGAACTCAGCAGACGCCCGCACCGAGGCTTTTTGCCAGGAGAGCTAGGCTAGGAACAAATATGTCGTAGTTCTGGATGGTTAACATTGTTGCCCCTGCGCATCCGTGAGGGTTGCTGGCATGTTCCACATGGCCCCCTTCCCGGACAACGTGGCACACGACCAAATATTCTGATGACAATGGGCCCCCTAATAACCAAAAAACAACTGGAAATCCAAATTCAAATCGCCACAATTCAAGACCAGCCATGGGTGGCTCTGAGAAACTGGTTGGTCTCAGTTGCAAGACAATGCACAAAGCGCAAGCTCAACAACGCACACTCACATCCGGGCTGCCCTCAAATCCTAAAAGTTTAACTTTTACTGGGTTAGATTGAAACTACCACTAAACCAAATTAAAACAAGCAAAAGCTAAGGAACCGGATGGCTGGGAGCCAGCCAAACATTCAATACCTGTAGAGGAAATACGTGAGCAGTGCTGATGCGTGAACCAGGTCCCACCTCAAGTGTCGCAGAGTGACGGCCAGCTCTCGTTTCCTCGCGCGAGGAACTGTGACGCGAATCACATGGTGAGCATAGTTGATGTCGCTCTCCCGGGTTTGGGTTTGTTTGAGGGTACACATTTGCGTGGTTTTAAAAGGGAAACCAAAAGGAACACCTTTGTGCTTTGAGGGTACACCCTTCTTTGTGTGTTTAACCGGAAACCAAAAGGAAAACCGCTCAGCCCTCTTGGGGGTCCGATTCCTAACAAAGACACGCCATCTCGCGAAGGGGGGGATCTCATCAAACACTGCGGGGCGTCATCTGCGAATGTCACGCTGATATCGGCTGATGCTCCATTTGTTAAGGTTCCGGGAAGAACTAACAAATACTTCCACTAGTGATAGATATATGATAGATTCCCTTCAAAACCAACAGTGGAAAAAAAAGAGAAAAAACAACACTTTGAGCATATGGGAGCTATAAAGGAGAACGTCAACACACAATTCGCTAAGAACAAAGCTGTTGCGATGGTGCTAATCGATCAGGCCCGCGTATTCCATCCGGCAGCTTATGAACCTTTGCCTCGCTGTCACATCAACTAGACAAACTTGTCATACCAACAATCAGCATAAAAAACACCCAGCTGGCCGACGGTTTGGTCTTTCTCCTGGCTTTCCCAAATGCAATTTGAAAAGAATCCCCCCTCCCCCTGATGGTGGCAAACAATATATACTAATGGGTTGAGGACACCAAGTGGTCGGTTTCACCAATCCGCAAACTATTTTGCTCGTCATTCCCTTCTTCCCCGAACCCCAGTGCCCGTGTGCACGCCTCCAGTCATTGGATCTTTCTGCCTCAACCAACCTGCCACGAGGCATGCAGCTTGCAACATACTGGCCAGGAGACAAGAGCCACTGGGAGGTGGCACCAGCTGTCAACTGCCATACCCATCAAGAACATGCCAGGCGCAACAGGTAGACCAACTCACCAGTGCGGTGCTTTCAACGCAGTTGGCCTGCATACTAATAGTGGCATAATCTGACATCTCCGTGACACCATCAGGAAGCAAGTTGCGGTATTGGAATCACAAAGCATTTGTTCTGTTCAGGACCGTGGTCTGCCTACCAGTGCTCTGACATCGGCTCGCATATGATAGGTTTTTTGGCCGTTCTACTGTAATTGAGTTTGTTGATTCGGCCACAATTCAAGATCTATGCTTGTTTTATGTTGGAGCTTGTTTACAAGCCCAATTGAAAGGAGCTTGCAAATTCAGGACCACACACATTGTCATTCATTGTCATTTGCCGCAATTGCTCAACACTTGCACACATTCTTCAAACAGTTGAAAACACATGCTCGTGAAACCTCCATTTCCCTGTAGCAAGAAGGCCTGTTTTGTCGAAAACTGTGCTGCGGAAAGCTTCCCACCAGCACAAGACGCGCATGGCCTGCGTCTTGGTTGCTGTTGACCTCTCTGCAAGAAGTGAATGACCTGTTGTGGGTTACAAAGTTCAAGTCCACAGATCGTTGCCAAATTAAGTGGCCCTGAAGGTCTGAACCATGAAGCACTCCTTGAAGCCTTTAGGTAGCTGCGCCAGGTCCAAAGGCTCGGTTGTTCTTGGCAACGGTTACTGGCGCCCTGCCACAGGTGCCCCAGACTAGGAGGAAGGATAAGTCAACAAACACTGGGGTCCAGCCAGCTGGGCAAAAGCTGCCACCAGCCACAGTTGCGCGTTGCAACCAGGCCGGTCACGGCGATTGCTCGCAGGCGCGCATCAAGTCCTCTGTCGGTGCTGGCCTGGGCGCTCTCCTCTCTCAGCATGGTGAAGCCTCTCAGCCCTCAGACCTATGGGAAGCCTTGCTGGGCTTGCGAAACATGGGAAGCCAAATGCAAAGCAACCATTTTGGGGGCCCCCGATTTCGAGACTACGGGACATGGTCAAAGGTCCTTGGCACACCTTGCGTTGACGAGAGGTAAGGGTAGGACTGAACATCCTCCGCATATGTTGTGTGTGTTTTTTTGCCAGCAAAGAAGCGGCACCCTGTTCGATAGTTTTCAGAGAGAAAGCAAGAGGAAACCAGCCACTTAGCGGGGTCCCATATTTTAGAGCACACCGATTATGACTGTTCTTCGACCCTAATTGTGTCAAGCCGAGCTGTATCTAGCAGATGTACCAACGTGTACCAAGCTGTCAGTACTTCAATTATGCACATGATGCCTCATGATCCAAACGCGAGGCTTGGTCACGGAACCCATCTAACACATACACAACGCAGCAACGATGACGATGCTATGTGGCATGTTCCAACGGGATGAAGAAAGGAAATCAACTTGCTCTTTGTGTCCGTTGCATTCCACAGCTCGTGTTGCTTAAACGCAGGAGCAGTGAAGTGGCCACCGTGTTCAAACAGGGTCTACAGCCTGATGATCCCTGGCCGTCATTTTTGAGACATCTGGAGCTGACCCGAGCACGCCCTGTGGTCCAAGTGCCGAGCGCTGCCACACGAGCCTGGAGCAAAGGCAAAGGACATCAACCAAAGCCAATGCCACAATGCCTCCGGGAATATGTGCCGGCTTTATTCGTGCTGCTTGCTTCCAACATGTTGAACAGGTGCTAAAACAGCTATATATCATATTTATAATTGGCTGGCTTCGATTGACACCAATTAACTCAAGCGTGTCTGAATAAACGTCGGGCTGTCTGCTGCCAATGTCTGCAAAAGGAAGGCAAGAATTGCTTGCGCTGTGATGCCAATTCTACGCATGGGCTGTGGCACTGATGGTCTCTGTCAGCTCAGTCAGTGATAATACGTGCTTGCCGGACAAACATGTGCGGATCAACCTGCGCCTTCATGAACACACCTGAAAAGATACCTACCATCTCATAGGTTGTGGACTTGTGGAGCAGAACTAAGCATGTCTATGATTAAGCGTGATTTCCATCCCAGTATAGTGGGGCACTGGCAGCAAGTGACCAAGTAAAGCCAATAAACATGTGCTACCAGCAAGTCCCATGCTGCGCAGGAGCCTGAAAGTGGATCAAGCTGCGCTAGAGTGCAAGCAGGAGAAAGAACATCCACACAGTTGAGCATCACACTCAGGAGTGGATTGGCCCTCGCAAGTCCACACTTTTGGTTTACCACTTCCCAAATAGTTGAAAACTCAACTCGGGAGTGAGCACATTGACCTCCTTCTCTTGACAACCTCCAAGGCATATCAACATGGGCTATACTATGCCATACTCATGCTGACTAGTTGAGATGATCCAAAGTGGCACCCTCCGAACAAAGTTAGTCACTAGGCCACTTGGCAACTGGGCCGAATCATCGGCCCAATGACTCCCGCAATCCTTGCAAATTGTGAGTTGGACGCAAACTGGGCTGTGGAAAAGAACAGCTTCAACTAAAATTGCCTTGGGCCGCTC